ATAACATTTTTAGTGCAACAACATCCGAGCCCTACTCATAAGCCTGTAWAAAGACCGGCTGGCTGCAGGTAGACTACTTTCTATAGCAGATAAAAAATACCGGTAGAACAGATTTGTTGGTACACCGCATACTATATAAGAGCTCTTAGGTTATGATTTAAGAGAGTGCCCGTGTGTTTGTTGTTTCCATCTTAAAAATGTATGATATACCAAGTTTAGTGTGCTGTTAGTTTTGATATTAAAGTGAATTGACAAATTATTAAAGTTTTAGTTAAGAATATTATCTGTGGTTACTGGTTAAGCGTTGGGTTTTATTCAATATTTTAATTTTCAAGTAAGATATGGATATGTGAAATATCACAAATTAAAAATGCCCATGTCTTGCTTGAAAATAAAAATATTGAATTAAAGCTTACACTTAGTCACAAATAATGTTCTTAATTAAAAACTTAATAATAGGTCAATTCACTCTAATATAAAAAACTGACATCTCACCATTGAAAACAGTTTTGCTAAATTGTATGTATGTAAGATTGAGACAATAAATGCATTAGTAGTGTTTTCTTAAGAATATTAACTTCATAAATTTACATATTTACTTTGTTTATTTGAAATCTGAAAGTGAAAGAAAAAATGAATTGTYGTATAATTATATGGTTTTGGTATGTGTTACAGTGTACGTTTAACWGAATMTTTTATTCATTCTCACTTCAGAGCGTAAATAATACTATAATAATAAAATTTAACAAATAAAACTATTCTCATAATATTATGCTTATAAACTGTGTATAATTCAGTTTGGAAAGAATGTTGACATAAACAGACATTCACAGTTGACAAACGATACACCAATTTCACCAATTTTTTTTTTTTTTGCAAATAGAATATGTTCGTGAATTACATTTATATTTTTAATGAATTTGAACGATTTTTAAGACGCTCAATTTATTTAATATTTAATAAATACAGGATGTCTCAAAAAGATTCGAAAAAAATATGCTAATTAAACGTAYGACAAAAATTGTTAATATTATATTTATTTATTTATTCGGTGTAAACGCCCAGGTGGGCTCAAGTACAATGACAATAAAGTATATAATAATCACATTGGTAGAATAAAGATACAAGTACAATAGTAGTACCATAGACATAATAATAATAATAATATATTATTATGTCTATGAGTAGTACATAAAATAAAATTTACAAAATAATAGAAATAATTTTAGTGATATAACAAGCTGCTAAAAACAGTGTTTTAAAGAACACAAATTATTCAATATTCATAATAAACGGATCAAGTTTTAAATTATTGCACTCTCTGGCTATTCGATCAATAGGGTTATAAGTACCGTAAGATGTTCGATGAAAAGGGATTTCAAATGTGGGACAAGAACGTGAATGAAATTTGGGAACATGGAAGTTTATAAACTGTAATAGTTCTGGACAAGATATAACACCATTTATTAATTTATATAGAAAGCAGATGTCTGTATATTTCCGTCTATAAGGGGATCTARTTTGAGGGAATCCTGTATAGAATTAAGGGATATTGACACAGATGATGATTAATGGAATGCATACGTCTCTTATATGCGATTAAACATAAAAATCTTCTTTGTACACGCTCAAGCGATTCCATCAAACTGACTTGTGAGGGGTTCCAAATAATTGAACAGTATTCCAACGTAGGTCTAACTAAAGAAATATACAATGGTTTTAGACACTGTTCGTTCCTAAATTCTTTGGTATTCCTAATTAAGGAGCCAAGAGTTCTTAAGGACTTCGTACAGATATGACCGACATGTGAGTTGAAAGATAGATCAGTTTTAAAAACTACCCCAAGATCTTTAATGATACTAATATCCTCAATGTGATTTTCAAAGAGATGATAGTYATTAATTAATTTGGTTCATGAACAGGAAAAAGAAATYTTGAAACACTTAGTGGTGTTCAGTTTTAACCCATTTAATTGGCGCCAATCACAAAATCTGTTCAGGTCATCTTGAATTTTATAATGATCATAAATTGTGACRAAATTTGCATAAATCTTGAGATCATCAGCAAACAGTTGGTATTTACAGTATTTGAAACAAGCACCTATAACCAGAATAAATAATGCAAATAACAGTGGTGATAAATGCCCCACTGGGGGAACACCAGATGGTACTGGTATTTTATTTGATAGAAAACCATTTATTTTCACCTGTTGAACTCTATTCACTAGGTAAGAACCGAGGTAAGAACTAATCAAAAAATTAAAAAACATTAATAATTTTTGAAATAATGAATGTTCAATGATAAAAGAATCACCCGGTATACTCATAATGACAAATTTTCAAAAACCATTTTTAAAAAAGTAATTACGTTCCAAATTAATTTAACAAAAAAAAAATTCTAAAATAAACTACTBGACTTAGATAAATCTTTTTACCATCAAAATTTTTCTTATAATCAGATTCACAAATAGGCTATTTTTAATTTATCCAACATTTTTATCAATTTTTAAGTTTTTTTTGTTTGTTTTCAGAATTACAAAATAAAAAAATAGAAAAATTAAACTAAAAATTTAGCACAAATGTCTATGAATTACATAGAAAAAAAAAATTTAAATATTAAATAAAACAAAAGTTATTCCATATGTCAGATAATGTGAGACACCTGTATAGTAATATATGTATATAATTTAAATACTTAAGTAAATGTATATGCTCTGAAGTCTAAATTGTGTTTTTATTTTTGGGCTGAGTGATATGTTTATGGATTTTTATATTAACTTCTAGTAAACTACTCATAACAATAAAAAAATTACCTAATGAGCGTGTTCATTTTTTCAAAGAATGTGAATGCTATTGTTTGAAAAAAATATGATCATGAACGTGAATGAGTTTTTTTCTTAAGGACTGAACGTAAACGTATTCATTTTTTTAATGAATGTTTGGATCACTGGTATAAATACATATTTTACAAAATCTATTGAACCACATTAATGATCAAAAATTTTTTCAAAAAAGTTCAATCATTTTGAAATCATAATATATACCTRATATTGATGGATATGTTCAACTTTATGAATTAGTATAAAAATATGTAATATTATTTTTTTTAAATATGCACACTAAATTTATCAATGGCTGTTTTTATTTTTTATGATTATAAATCAATGATTAGGGCTGAGAATTGAATACAGAATAGACTATTCYGTAATCAATTGTACAATATGCACACAATATTCATAAAATCAAAATAACAATAGACTAGAATAAATAATTTTTTWAAAAAAAAGGAAAATTTTAAACTAATGTTACAACTGAAAAACATTATTAAAAATGAGACTTTCGGAATTGAATTTATTAGTACCTAATTAAAATGTATTATTAATAAAGCTGTATATTGGAATAATGCAGTATTTATAGTGCAATAAACGCACATTTTCCATTTATGATCGTTTATTGTCATAAAAGTAAAAATATATCTATTACTAAATGCCAAAGTAGTGCCATTTTTAAATTCTGAGCAGAAAAATCAATGTATGGATATGATTTTATTGTTGATGTGTTTTTTTACTTTTATATTTATTTTGTATCAATATACTTGATAATTTGGTGCATTTAGAAGGTCAACATTTAAAATTCCCAGTAGTTYTTAATTGCACCATGAAAAAAAAATTTAAGAAAAACAGAATTTTTAGGTAAAAACAGTTATTGCCAAATTTGATTTGGGATTTTGGTATAACTCTAAAACAAATTATCAAACATATATGATACTTTTACTAAATATTTATAATAGCACATTTGTTATAGGCAATAAGTTTTCAAAATATTTTGACTTGTTTTTAACTGTTTACAGACATTTTCAGTTTCCAATTTTTTTTTCTATAAATGTCAATAAAATTGTATTGATTGAGTAAAAAGGATTGAAAATTGAATGCAAAATTCTTGATATATATTGTAAACATTTGAAAAATATTAAAAAATTAAAGTGCAATTTTTTTTACAAGCATTTAAAGATTGAATTTAGAGTTTATCAAATTAAAAATTTGAAACAATTCTCATAAATAGTTTATCCTGTAACTAAAAAATTTAATAATTATATAAATATAGTTATTTTTACTGACATTTTAAGTTCAAATTTGGAAAAAATTACACATTAACATAAAGAATAAAAGTTTTTAGTCATTTTGCTGTAATTTAAAAATAATATTTGTGAGCAGACACTAGAAACTTCTAAAACATATTTTAATGTTCTAATTGTAATAGTTTATACTATACTTTATACCAAAGTTAGACTAACAAACCGTCTCCGCTCAGAATTATTTTTGATGATATTATATCATTGAATTTAATTCAAATTTAATACCATCCATTAAACTCACTATTCACTTATAATCTACAGTGCAGCAGAGTGACATCCACTTATCCACTTTTTTTTTAATATACAAAATTTAAGCAAACAAATTACCAATAAGTACTTACATACTGGATATCCAAAGATGAAACATTGACTAGAATAGAATGTATTGTAATCAAAACATTCTAGCACATTGGATATTATTGAGGGTCAGTAAAAATCCCCTCCAGCGTGCAACTAAAATTACTATGACACAAGCATAATGCATATAGCACACACACATGCAAAACAAGTTAATCAAGGACAGCAAGATAAGTACATACTGTAATAGTGTAATAATTAAACACCAATGATAAAACTTAAAAATCAAAATATATTCAGCTTGAAAGTCAACAAATTTCACAAATTATCTGAAATAAAATAAAAAACAAAATGAATTAGTTTTACATAAGGTATCTGTTTRAGTATGTTAGTTATTGTTACATACATGTAAAACGAAGTTTAAAACAATAAATTGGCATATAACATAAAAAAKAAAAAAAATTAAAAATATAGGTAACTACAATTATTTTTTCTTTAATATTAACGAATAACGATAATAACAACAATCTAAATCTAATATACCATAGGTACTCGAAAAGTAAACGAGTCAAACTTGTTGAAAAAGAGTCATGCTTTTAATTTTTATTTAACAACCGATCACCGATGGTGTCAGATATTGAATAGTGATAACTGATAAGCTTATCAAATTTTATTTTGTAGGTTAAGATTTTGAATTGTAATTAACATAGACGTATAAATATTTATAGCATTTCTGATTCTGAGGTAAAAGGTAATTTGATACTGAGTAATATATAGATTAAATTCGTCAAAGTTCAAGCCATAGCATTATATACATATTATATTATTAATTATTTATAATATCTCTATGGTTCGAACCCGAACCTTCAAATCTCGGTAGTCACTAGTCTCAACACGTCAACACTCAAATCGTCAGATAGGTATGACTGGTATGAGTATGATGTATTGATCTAAGGTTCAAATGTTCAATACTTCAATCAATTTACGCAATAGATGAAATTATATAGTAACATTATGATATTGTTATTATTCATTATTTAATTAAAATTAAATAAATATATTTTATTCTGCGATTCAATGGCAGTTAATCATCATTGTGTTCTAACATTTGTATACAACTTGAAGTTTTCGTATAGATTTTGCAATTTCACAAAATTAGGTATGATGGATCAATTTTCTTTTAACAAAGTTAAATAATTTGACATTAGTATTGAATAGATATAAATATATTCTATTACTTACCAAATAGTTAACCAGCTAAATGGTGTCAGCATACAAAAAAATATTAATAAAAATAAATTCTTAGGCAATTGTGCCAAATGGCAAAAATTCAATAAAATATATAATATTATAAGAAAAGATCTTTTATTGCCAAAAAAACCTGATATAAAAGTAAACTTGAGTAGCTTACAAACTAAAAATCTGTAGACCATTATAGAAACTAGAAAAACGCATAAATCTCTGGTCTAAATCTAATATTTAATTGTGTGTTAATTACAAATAAAAAAAATTAATAAATAAATGAAATTTAAGTAGCTTATTTTGGTCTACCCCGTTTGCTGTAATTTCCCTTCTTTGCTTTCTTGCTGGCTTCTGCTGCTGCTTTTGCTTCTTCAGCCTAAGTATAAAAAATACATTATGTAGTTGTTTGTTAGAAAAAAAAATCAATATTAATTTAATTTATTACAAATTTTCCATATAAAAAAACGTATTAAAATAAAAATTGTACAAATATAGATATTAGTATACTTTGTCTCATAAAAGAGACAAGAGAACTTTAGCCTACAGCTACTTGTGCACGGTTGTGGCTTACAAACACACACAATTCGGTTTTTCTACACCTAACCTTGTGAAACGCTTCGCCATATCAGAACTGGTCCCAATGGTAGCATAGGATATGTTGAATCAGTAAGTTCTATAGTCTTGAGGTATCTAACCTAACCTAACATTTTTATTTAAAAATTGCAATAGTTGAGATAATCCAGTTTTGGATCTAAGGAAGTCAAGATAGCAGAAAGTAACATTACTTTTTTACTTTCTAGTTAATAAATATTGATTTAATTAGTACCTACAATATAATATATTTTGTATAAAAATGTAAACATAATTTTCAAAAAACTCTTAAAACTTATTTATTATATTATGTTGTTCTAATAAATAAGTTAGCTTACTTTACGCTTATTTGGTGTTGAAGAGAATGAAAAAAATGAATCCAACCTGCCTTGAGTTGTACCAGATCGTGCTTTGATTAGCTTCTTAGCTCCATTCCTGACTCTGTCTTCATTAAATCCTCTATTACCACATAAAAATTTTACCAAGCCTTCTTCATCTGGATCCACCCATTTTAACTAAAACATTTATCCTAATGTAAATATAGTGACACTTCTATAATATTGATACATTTTATGAGAAAAAAAAGAATATTAGTTTAAGAGGACGTTATACCTGCCTATCTTGTCTGTCTTACAAGTGCATAACAGCAATTTTTACACTCGATAGAATATGTATAGCTCTGTTTAAAATGTAGAGTAAATTTACCTCTTATAAAAAGCAAACATTATTATCGAGGACTTCTCATGGGCTTTTTATTATATTTTAAGTGATGAGTATTTTAATATACTCAATTTACAATTTTAAAATAACTTGCTTTAATAAAAAGCCAAAGCGAAGTCCTCGAATAATAATGTCACCTTTAATTTTTATAAGAGATCAATTCAATCTAAATTTTAAACTCATGGGGCTAAACATGATCTACTGAGTGTAAAATTTGTTATGTTACGCACTTGTAAGACGGAGAAAACACACGGGGGTATAACATCCTCTTAAAAGCATGTGATCCATAAGACACTTGTTATTTCAAAAACTAGAACATTATTAAAAATTGTTTTTTTAAATTATTTTAATTCATTAAATAACATTTTTCTAGAACACCATATATTTTACTATACAATTTATATCATAGTAATAATATCATGCATTAATACCTTATCCCAAAACAATGAATCTTTGGGTACTATGTGAAATCAAATTTCGAACAGGATGAGTAGCTTAGGAGTTATAAATATTTAAAGTTTAGATGGGTAAAAAGTAGTGGTGGGCATATCCAAATTTCAATAATCTGAATTAATCAACTAAATTTTTTTGTTCAATGACTTTTTTTATATACTAATATTTTAATTCTATAATTTTTGGTATACCAAATTTCGAACATATTTTAAGCATAGTGATATCATACAACTTAAGTATTAATTTATTGTTAAATGTTCATTATAATAAAATAAAATAATTTATTTTAACATGCATTAAAAATAATTGTGTCTTAAGTCACATAAAAAGTAAATCCATAAATCTGGATAATAATTTGATTCAAATTCGGAATTGGATAATTCAGATATTCGGATTTCATGTCCATCCCTAGTATAAAGATCAAAAACAATTTCTATGTGTGATAGAATATTGACATAATATTTCTTGGTATTCCTCACAATTACACAAAAATAACTATATAGTTTGATAATTCCTCAATTTACAAGTCATGCTACAAATTTTGAACATCTATCCTACTTCCAACTGATGATATTAATGCTACAACACTTCTAGCCTATATAACTTTTAATATCCTTTTTGCTTTAACTGCTCACAAATTTATTGTATAATAGTTTGTATCTATCAAGCTACACCTAATATAATATAATAATAATAATWATAAAACCTACCCTAACCTAACTTCAATTTATTGTTTTGGGCTTTTCTCATATTTAGGAAAAATAAAATAAAATATTACATCTATAGTTTCAGGATCTGTTATTTCTGGTTCAATAAATAATCTTCGAGCTTCTTTATATGGCCAATCTTCAGGTACTTGATATTTTTTGGTATCTAAATTTTCAATTATTTTTTCTAAGGATTTGTATTGTCGCATTAGCTCAATGGCACGTTTTGGACCAACCCCTTTAATACTGTTACAGTAATCACATCCTAACAGTATACACAGATCTATGAACTAAAAATAAAAATACATAATAAAAATATATTTTTGTGTTTATGATACCAAAAGTAATATTTAATTAAAACTACTTCATCTTTAGACATTTCCATTGTTTCCAATACTAAATCTAATTGAAACTCTTGAATTGGCATTTTTCTGGCTTCACTAAATGTCATATGACGTAACAACACAGGAGAACCAAACGTTAAAGCATCCATATCCTCAGTAGCAGTGGCGTAAACTTTACCAGCTTTTACCATAGCTGCACATTGTGCTTCAGCTTCACATGGAGCCTATAAAATAAATAATTTTATCTTGATATTTTTTAGACTAAAAGACAGATTATTATTTGATTTACTATCTAACTATTTGTATTATTATAAAGCAAAATATTTTTCATACTATAAATTTGTATAACAATTGGTTTAGGATTTTAATTAGCAAAGATAAACAAAATGATGTTAAACTTTTAAATTAAATTATTTATTAGGGTAGGGTACAACTGAAAATACCTAATTGGAAAATTTAAAAATACAGCGATGTGCAGTGTATTTTTTACTAAGTAATGACAAAATGTAATAATTCTAGTCTTAGTTCTATTTAACTGTATTAAAACAATATAATATGAAAAAAACAAAACTACCTACTACTACTAGAATGAAATAAAATAAATTGAAGTTATAGTTACTAATATAAAAATTAATTATATTATTTATTTTATTTAAAAAAATAAGAGCTGAAGCTGCATCAATATACAGTGTGATCACAATAAGTGGAAACACTCAATAACTATGTGTAGGCTTCATATATTTCAATTCTGCTTTTTCGGCTAACTAATAAACATTATTATACACTTATTTTAATCACACTGTATAACTATAAATACTAATTTAATAATTTATAACATAATATACGGTCAAAAAGATATGACCAAAACCATTAACAATAGTTATCAAACACAGAATTCAACAAAACTTCCATTTAGAGGATGTGAATATGTGATACCCGCGTGTGTTGTACAGAACACTGTAGCTCTGTTAGTTTAAAATTTAGAGTGAATTTACCTCTAAAAATAAAATTTAAAGGTAATATTATTATAGAGGGCTTCACATAGGCTTTTTATTATATTTTAATTTTAAAGTAAGTTATGAGTATTTTAAAATTGTAAATTATATATCTTAAAATACTCATAACTTAAAATTAAAATATTATTAAATGCCTATGAGAAGCTCTAGACAAAAATCTTTTTTTTAAATTTTATTAGAGGTCAATTCACTCTAACTTTTAAACTAACAGAGCTACACGTGTTCTGCCGAAAATAAAATTTGGTATGTTACGTTCTTGGAAGACAGAGACAACACATACGGGTATCACGTCTTCTTACAAATGTATGATTAACATAGTCAAGTGCTTTGGTAAAATTCATTATATTGCATCAACCTATAAACAATTTTTAAAAGCAT